GATTGTCGTCTTTGTATCAGGGCTCAGAGGACGCAATCGAGGTCTTTGCAAATTTTTTTGAATCTGGAATAGGATGCAGGGCTTTAAACACAGCACAATCAACGTTATCAAGCACTTAACAACTAATCGATGGTATGAAATTTGGAAAAAATCCTATCGCGTGTAGGTTTTCAAAAGGAGTCTTTGAACTTAGACCAGCATTATCTAGATATTCAACAGTTTGGGATGTCGGCAATGTGCTGGATTATTTTAAGTCATTTGAACTTACAGAACATCTTAACATAAAGAATCTTACTATAAAATTAGCAATGCTACTTAGTTTGACATCAGCACAAAGATGTCTGGCACTAGGTCACACGGACATCAATGGCATACAGGAATTAGAAGACAAATATATAATAACAATTCATTAGAAGTTAAAGCAATCAAGCCGGGTACAACATGAGCCGATTGACTTAAAATTCCATTAGACTGAAAAATTTGTTTAGTAGATAATCTGCAAGAATAAATCAATAGAATCAAAGAATTGAGAGGAGAGAATAATCAATTATTGTTTAGTTATGTGAAAGCTTATCAGCCAGTTACCAAGGCTACCATAGCCAAATGGATAAAGATGATTTTAAAAAGTGCAGGCATTGACGTTAATATATATTCTGCGCATAGTTGCAGAGCAGCTGCTAATTCACATACTAAAAAACGAGGAGTTAGTTTATCCGAAATTATAAAGACTGCAGGTTTGGACTTCGACATCAGTTTTTGAACGGTTTTATAACGGACCCAGAGAACAAAGGGATAATTTTTGGGAAGCATTACTACTCTATGATACTAATGAATATTGACTATTTATCAAGAATTTCAGTTGCATAAGCAATAATGTTGAAATTTTGTAAAGTTGATGTTGTTTGTGGTACTAGATTGCATATGAGAAGAACTTTAAAGACTCATGGGACTACGGAGTGACGTAAACTGATGACACGATAGAGTTAATAACTAAACAAGACTTACCTAGAATTTGAAAATTAATTGTAATACTGTCTTGTCATCAGTCAGGAACAGATGAGTCACATGCCCAGAATCCAACCCTCAACTTTCGGCATAATACTCCGTACTATGATTCCGCTCATATTTGCTTTTAAGACTGATCTATTACACTCGATGCACATCTCGTGTGACTCCTACGTTCCTGACTTATGGCAAGACAGAATTACAATCAAACTTAAACTTCACGATAAGTCTTGTTTAATTATCACTTATATACATTATGACCAGTCTCTCTACATCAACAGTATTCTACATCATCTGTAAGTAATTAAGCACGACACTAGATAATTGCACAACTATAAAAAATGTGGTTTGTTATTGTTATTGTGCATGACAAAGGTTTGCGTTGTCACATCAAAAACTTATAGAGCATGCATTCTGAGGTTTTTATTGATAAAGTGTTTGCCAACATATGATGCAATTGGGCAAATGTCGTCAGTAAGTTTTGAGTGTTTTATTTGTTTTCTATAAATACAATACAACTGACTGCCAAAATTAACTATTAATACCGATTTCATACAAAATTGCTTGCTCAAAGTGTTTGTATTAATTACTTATATTAAACTGTCAATTGACTTTCAGCGCAAGTTTTAGATTATTATTGCACATTTACAAAGCGATTCAATCGCCTTTTGTCGCTGTCATATGACGTTTTCTTTGTCGCGATATACTTACCGTTTAACCTTTTCAAGCAAAACGAAAAAAACTGCTAGAGCAAAGTGTTGACTACAACTGTTAGAGCAAAGTGTTGACTACAACTGCTAGAGCAAAGTGTTGACTACAATGGCCAGAGCAGGTGCATGAGAACTAGAAAGCAATAGACCCAAATTTCAAAGTTTTAACAATCAGTGCATATTAACATGTTTAACTATATCACCAGATAGTGTGTTGCATTTGGAAATGTTATAACGTAGGCAATTATTATTACTTTAATTATTTATTAATGTTAGTAACTATATCTTTTCTGTTTGATATTCCAAAACCAGTTTGCAATTATTTCTTGTCATGCTTTTCCATCAGAATTTACTTTTCGAACAAGATTTATTTCTTGAATTGCAAGCCTCCATCTTCGTTTACATGGATGAAACCTTTAGATACAGATGTTATGAAGAGCAATAGAAGTCATAATGATGAGAGAAGCATTTTCCAAGTGACATCCTTTTTTTTTGTCTAGAACTCTCCACCTCCCTCTCATCATGCCATAGGCATGTTCGATAGAACCCTTGCAGAGCAAAGCATTTTCTTAAATTACCTTTGCTTTGGAAACATTGTGCAATCTCTGTATGGCTTTGGAAGCCAAGGGTAACTTGAAAAGGCCGAAACACCTACAGTTGTAAAGGTAATCTCCCCATAAGAACTAAGGATTAAAGATTTTTTCGGAAATACATGTCCATTATTATTGTCAGTACAAATAGTACAGTTTCTTAGCAGCCTTGAATCACTTCTTGATCCTGGAGCACTGACTGCCACCGATATGAAGCGCTTGTTGTGTCCAATAAAACATATTTTTTTTCTCACTGAGTACTTTTTCTTAAATCTGTGGAAATTTTTTAAGTTTAGTACATATGTAAGCATGAAAACCATACTCATGCTGCATCATAGGGGAAAGTTTGAAAGACGTTTCTCTGTTCCTCATTCCATTCGTCAATACTTATGGGCAGGTTAGAAAAATGTCATATAAATACACACAATCGCTGTAAAAACGTCGTAAAAATATCTACAGCTTTTGATTCAGCTACACCAAAGAGATCATCAAAATTCAAAAAATTACACCTATTGTGCGTCGATATAAATTTAGTACTACGACAGCAAGTCGATATAAATATAGTACTATCTGAGCTGTATAGGCATGGGCTGGGGAACTATATGTGTTTATTCCTTCTGAATGGGTTTGTCTATTTCCTCTAAAATATAATCAAATATCATTTGAGAGACCTTAAAACTTTTTTCTAATGAATTGTGGTATCAGGTTTGGAACCCATTCGTTTACCAGTTGTTCATTCTTGGCTCATTTGGTCGCAGCTTTTTTCCGTTTCCCTTTAAGAATGCTATCGTCGACAATGCTATGCACATTGCAGTTTCTTTTTAGAATTCTAATGGTTTTAAAAAGCGCTTTTATAAATTTCTTTTTATTGTTGTAAACTAATAAAGTTTAGACTTTTGCCGAAATTTGCCAAAAAAATGTGAATTGGCGCCCAAGTTTTAATAACTTTTTGCGCAACTATCACTTTGTACGTGTGGTGCTTCTATGGATAATTCGTTCCGTTTCTATACTAGAGGAATAAAAAAGGTGACGTATTATATGCGTTCAGAGGCATTATGCATTTCTTGTATAAAAACGGCCATTTCTGGCAATGAACGTAGTTGAGAGTATTGATGCAATGACTGCAGGAATCGAATCTAATTGTTTGTAAAGTGAGTTTGAACAGATATTAAAAGCGGTTTTCCACGATATTCGTTACCAAACATTCCTCGTAAAAATAAATAAAAATTCCAATACGATGGTGCGATTAACGTACAGATGCGATTTTATCGCCAAGAATTCAAAGCCATCCTCGATACGCAGATCAGCACGTATACAGATACCTTTGAGAACTGTGTTGCCACAATTAAGGCTCTAGTCGAAACTTTAATTAGGGCTCTAGTTGATTCTCCCTTTTTGCACAAATATAATCGTTGTCGCCAAAGACAAGTGAATACATGATTACTAATTTGAGTCTAAAGTGCTTCGACTAGTGCATATTATTTTTCAAATTTTGTTGTGTCTTGGCTTGTATACCAAAACTACCTCCCGATTCTATTGCCTTTGGGTTAAACGTACAGCAACTGTAAGTACAGATGATGATACCCGACTGTGACACAATAAAAGTTTTTCTGTAAGTGTAACTCAGCAATAATACGCTTTCTTAAAAACACTTATGCTTACAACATCTATAACTTCATGCAATAAACATTGATACTACTAAAAGATAAGCAAACGCAAAAATCTGCGATTGCCAGTAATAACTATTTCGTTTTGAAAAGTTCCTACTCACATAAGAAAGAAAGAAATGAACTGACACGATACGTGGTTTCTGCGTCTGTTTAATTTCAATAAAATAGGAGCAGAAAAGATCATACCTTTTCAGCTGGTATCCTGTTTATATGTTACATTCTCGAACAATCTGTCGGTTCTGTTTTCTAGACGGATTTCCTCGTTCGTCTATGCATTTGCCTTTATTTTACACCAATTTTACGCAACCTTACCATGTTGGAAATGCAGCGGGATTGTTTGTTCCAGAGGGAATTAGATCATCTTGATGTTTATATAATTGCAATCTTTGATAGCATAAGTAGAAAACTAGAGAAAATTAGAAAAGGAATTTGTCTAATAAATTTATGGAAAACTCAAAGCACTTTTTATTTTTTTCGCAATAGAATTATCAATTATTATTCTATATTAATGTAACTATTCTGATGACGCAAAAGAAATAAAAATGTGTAATGATATGTTAAGACAAAGATAACTTGCGTTCTTGATGTAAATTAAAATCAACTAGGACACCAATTATAATGTGTAAATGGTGTTTCATGCAACTGACTAATAGAACAGTAAATTGAAGGGAAAATAAATACTGTAATTGCTCAGTTTCATAAAGTAAGGTGTTAAAACTATAAAATACGTAAAGTTAAATATTCCAAACGTTCCTGGAAAATCGAAGAGTTTGTTTCTATCAATAACAACTTAAGATTTTCTTTTTTTCTTTTCGTGAGCAATTAACTCACTTTACTATGACATTATGGAATAGGAATTTTTTTATTTATTTATTTCTTCCTAGATACGAATGATATAATTTGAATATTATGTTTACAATCATTATTTGTGCATGATTAAGATATTATAGTTTTTAAATATGTATTTGTTGTTTATCAACAATATCTTTACGTATAACGCAATTTAATATGGCGATTTATTTTAGAATTCGGTTACATATTCAAAGGAAATTCTGGTGATCAATCTACCTGGGAATTTAATTTTAGTGACTTGACTAAACGAAAACTAGGGCGGAGCTATGTAGAAATGACAAGTTTTCGTCCAAACGCTGTTAATGGAGATTTTTATAATCCTATCAGATTTGATAAAGGAGGACTTGTTTTGTTCGAGGATTATGGTGCTGGAGTTTTCCACAGGCTTGCTTTGCTTCACACTCATCAAGCTCTAAATCAATCTGAAAAAGTTGATGAAGTCTCTTTTGAGGTATTTTTCTTATTGACATACATTTAAATAATTTTTACTTAACATGTTGAAGTTTCCAAAGTCCTATGATCATTTTCTTGCCCAAAAAAAGATTGTTTTTCCTTCGTCTTTACATTTTTAGAATTTTTCTTATAAGTTCCTACAAGTATACTTAAAAAAGCAACTTTAGCAACATCCGGAAAGCAAAGGCCCTAACTTTTGTTTTTTGATGTAAACTATTGCTGTCTAACTATGACACATATAAGTAAAACGTTTTCCTTGCTTGTTCAATACATTCAGCAAAGAACATATGCATCCAAATTTGTTCATAACAGAATGTATACTACACATAAGGGCCACCCTTGACTTTATTTGTCGCTAATTTTTATGTGCATGCTCCAGTTCCATTATCTTGCATGTTATAACATTTACTATAGTAAATTGCTGGCAGCGCTATATCAAAAAATATTGTAAAACCAGTGGTGAACCGGACACTTGACTGTAGTAAAAACTGCTAAAACCTTTTTTAATGTATCGCGTAGTAATTATACTGTAGAAGAATTGTGTAGAAGCGATTCGTGACAGTTTCTACTTTAATACATCCCACTGTTATAAATCTGACTGATCTGATTGCAAAAATAGCGTTTTTGCCGTAAAGGTGATTACTGTTTTCTTATTAGAGTATTGAGTTTACCCGTTCCCTGATTTTAACCAGAAATCGCTAAATAGTCTATTCTATTAGTATGTCTTATAGATCAATCTCGATTTAATGTAGTCGTTCAATAAACATTTTCAGGTGCGTTTATTACTATAAAAATATATAATGTTAACTGAATAGTCAAAATTGTCTTATACAATTAATATTATCGATATTAATTTACAGTAGGAAAGTGAAACTGACTGTGTGATTCAAAAATTTTTGTTTTCCGTTTTCATTTTCTTAACTTTCGAATGAAACTCGCATGTTTCAGTCTGTAGCTAGGGTTCTTCTACAGGGGCGTATTTGGACGAAAACAGCTAGTCGTGCAATTGCGAGAACAAACATGAAGTTCCACTACAGATAGTGGCAATTTAAGAAGTCCTTGCTGTACGCTTTGTTGTGTTACATTCACTTTTATTGCTTTTGGCAATCACCTTGTAAACGATCCATGTCGACATAATCCGTTTAAGTTCATATAGTTGACTTTGTACGATACAATTAAAATAATCACTTGTTCTCCATACTAGAGCACAAGCAATCTTTCCTTTCACACCAAGACTGTTGGAAACGTTTATCTTTCATTATCCAGTGTGAGGGCAGAGGTTTGTAGTGGCATACAAACAATGTTTTTCTAGAATATAGCAATGCGTGAAAAGACAATCATTCGCAAAAATCAGGAATGGTAACTCTAATTGTTTAAGCTTCAGACGCAACGTTTGACTGTTCTTGATTGATTTCCATGTTAAGAAACAAAAATAAATTCAATAACACAGTTAATAGCTTCTCACGAAAAAATTCTACAAACTGCTTTTCTCCGTATTTCTCTGACTCCAGAAGCCTGTCTGCAACAATATCATCGCGAGCAAACCCACTTGCCAAACCAAAAAACTGCTCATATTTAACGGTGAATGGATTAATCATATGCCCTACGGTACGCATCACATCAACCACCGGTTTTTAATGACGAATGCATTTTGGCTTTTTAAGTTCTTTTCGGCTTCTATAAGGGGGAATAATTTAAAATAAAGGGAATTGAGCTGCATAACGTATGGCCATTGCAGGTATGTAACCAATAGTGCTTGAAGTAACTAAAGTTAAAAAAAGAGCAATTGTACAGCTTTGGTTTGTCATTCGCACCAGCCATATTCTTGCATCTACTAGTAATGGCTGCTCTCCCTCTTTGGGCAAGGAGCCATCTATGGATAGCTGCATGATTTATCGAAAATCCGATGTTACCGTCTTTAGTTTTCGAGTCCTGACTTATCGTCTGCTCTAGGGTCTGGTCGCAAGATACAGCAGAACTCTTAAACCCGACTGTAATACTTCATGAAGTGTAGAATATTGCGTAAACCTGGCATTTATAGTAGGAGGATACACAATTCTTGAAACTGCTGGTATGCTACACAGTCTTAGCATCGTGTTTAATCATGTTCAACCAGGCCAAGGCTCTTCACTATTTGCACTGAAAATCTTGATCAACTAATATATTCGATCTAACTTTTGCGCTATTGCACTTTCGTTGTTTTGGTGAAAGATTCCGTTGCTTCTACATCCAATTCAGAGTGATCAAAATTCGGTTTTCTTTTTATGCCAACAGAGTATGGGGCTATGTCAATGGTTGGTAATTCTATAGATCATGCGTTTTCGATAGGATTTCTCTTGAAAACCAATATTGTCAAACACAACACAGATATTTTTTCCAGGAATCAACTCCTTAAGAACAATATTTGATGTATTTATTGTCATATGAGCTAACGTTTATTCATATGCTATTGTTGTGTAAATGTTCATCAATCGAGAAGAACCTGTTATCTCACTGCCATAGCTAGAGATAGTGCCTTTGGCATTTGGGTCCTTAATTTGCTAAAGCATTTATCATACCTGGGCAAATGGCGAAAATCTGGACGGCTTCCTTCTCTCGAACATGGAGATAACTTGAAAGCAAGGGCTCATCTGAAAATCACAACGTCCAAGCAATTAAACTGAAAAATACTGGTGAAACTGATTTCTTAACACTTTCATCGGACAAATCTGTGGCAACAAGAAGCCATGTTTCGTACCACCTTCATATGTAAATGATTTTAGTTTTTATTCATATTAACGATAGATATACATCCATCATATTTCTTTATAAGTAGCAATAATTTACAGCTTATCTTGTTTTCGATTTCTCATTTATTTCTGTTCTTATGGTCATTGCTACATTATAAAAATCCGTTATCGTGGTACCTTTGTCCGCAGGCCTAGCTTTATTTTCACCAATTTCAGTAGAATCACTTTCAGTTAATGAGCTTTAGAAAGCATCCCTATATGCAAGATTCTCAACCACATAACGTTTTTTAGACTATCGGAATACACAATTTCAGTCTTATTTTTTACCTAGTGGAATGTAAAACCAGTTTGGCAAACCGTGACTTCATCCTTTGTTTTAGCCGGCTAGTTTTGTATTTTGATGCATCAGCATTTTAATATTCCACAACAGTGCTCACAAACACGTCTTTAACCTTTTTATGTAGAAAACGCCCTCTTCCTGAATTATTTTTATTTATACAAACTGCTCGCAAATGGATTCAAATGATGTGCAATAAAGTGGAAGTGTGCTTTTTCATGTTACTGCTTCTTGATCCTCCTTCCCATGACTCAAAAATAAAATGCATTTTTTATGGCGTGGTCTGTGATACTTCATTTCTACGGCAACACAATCTTTGCCTTTGATCTGCGGGAAAGTATTTCGTCACATTTCAACTCTGCTCAACTTACCTCAATCGATTTTTTCTGTTGAAACAATGTTATTAATTTTTGCTTTCTACTTATCTATTACCGTAAAACAACAAATGAATTTTCACGTTTGTTTTGAAAAGTCATAAGAAAAAAGAAAATCATCATTCCGAATCACTGTAGTATAAATCCTTCATTTTAAATATTATACAAACAGGGGGTAGAACGTGCTTGTTCTTTGGTCTGGCTGTACTATTTGTTGCAGACGTCGCTAAATCCGGTCCTAAATATTTCTTTGAAATAAGATTATTGGATTCGCTGCTGTCACTGAATTGGCTAACTAACACTGTTGCTTGAAATCATCTGTGGACATTACTAAGAGGAGAGACTTCCTGTGTTTCGCAAGGGCTTAGAATTCCTTAAATTTGTAAACCTCACTTACAAAAATATTCTATAGAATATGACATTGACACGTTCTATTTGATATTCCATGGAATATTCTATAGAAGACTCTAGTAGATTTTGGAACTTATTCTATGAAACTTTCTATGCAATATTAAATTAATATTCAGATAATTATTTGATAGCATATTCTATAGAACCTTCTATGTCAAGTTGTGTAGAATTCTATAAAACACACTATAGAAGATAGCAAAAATATTTTTTATACCATTAAACTGGTGTAGTACCATTTAAAAGGAATACACGATAGAGTAGAAGAATTAATTGTGCAGAAGTATAGCATTTGGTGTTAAAATACGGAAGTAAAAACACAGCAAAATTTTTCTATAATTTTTGTTAAATTTCAAAGTAATCTTATTTCAGGCGCAAAATGAATTAAGTGTCAGCATAAAGACATTAGCACTTGTTACTCATGAATAATGTTCATTTTAGGCTTGTTCTTTGCTTTACTTTTTTTCACTTTAACAATTTGGGTCATACTTAAGTGACTTCATTAATGGAACTTTTTTACATGCGCGCCATGTTGGATAATAAATGATAAATATCAAGTATGTCTACTCTATGGGCAGTACATGGTTTCTTAAATAATGCTACTATAGATAGTCATAAAGGCTTCTTGATGATTTCCAAAATTATGAAAAATAACGATCAGAACAAGAAAACTGAAAAACAATCCAGTAAAAGAATACGAATTTGGCTTGCTGTCATTAAACACTATGAAAGTCGAGATATCTGAGCTGAAGAAGAAATTACTAGACACTGAAGTCTACAAAAAAAGTCTGAAAAAAGATGCAAAGAGAACAGCCTTTTTCACTGGTCTCCATAATTTCTCGCCTTTAATGGCGGTATGGAAAATTTGTGATCCCTTCATTTCATATCACCGTTCAAATGCACTAACAAAATTTCAAGAATTGTTGTTGCTCTTTATATGATTCCAATCAAATATTTTCTTGGAGGATTTAGCTTACCGGTTCAAAAAATCGAGGGCGACAGCATCATGAATTTTTATCAAAAGGATTGATTTAATGAATGCAGCATTTAAGATTTTGATTGTTTGCACTGAAATAGAGGTTCTACAAAAGAATATGCCCAATACCTTAAAACAGAATTTGGCAAACGTGTAGTAGCAACAATCGACTGCTTAGGACTTTTTTAAATAGACCATCATCCCTCTCAGCAAGAGCAATAACATTCTCAAGCTATAAACACCACAATAGTGTGAAGTTTTACATCAGTATTACTCCGCAAGGTGCAGTATCAATTATTTCATGGGCGTTGGAAGGTAAAATTTGAGACAAGCATACAACGGAAAACAGTGGATTTTGAAAAAACTTACTACTTGGTCACATTGTTCTGGCCGACTGGGGATTTTATATAAAACAAGTGTTGGATTAAAGCAAACATCAATTCAAATACCAGCTTTTACTCGTGAAATAGCACAGCTTTGTGCTGCAGAAGTTGAGGAAAATAGGAAAATTGAAAACAGTAGGATACATAGGATAGAGCGTGTAATAAGACTCGTAAGACGCAAGTATGTTATTTTGCAAAACCGTCTGCATGTAGACCACCTTACTGTAAAAAAAGGAAGCGGAAGCACAATGTGATAAAATTGCCTTGGCGCTTGGTGCACTTACAAATTTATCACCAAATATAGTTCCTTTTAAATATAATTTGCATTTTTTTTATTTATCTCTATAAAGTTCATATTGTTGTACTTAAAAATATAAGTAATTCAATTAAAATATTTCATTGCATTTCTTCTTGATGTGTGTTGAGGTTTTTGGGGGGTTCACTAACAAGTTTGAAAACGCCATTTTCCTTTTGGTACTTTGTCAAGTTTCAAGCAGCTGATATGAAACCACGAGATTGTGCATGAAGTATTTTCACAGGCAATTAATGTTGATACTGACAAATTTCTCTGGCAGTAACACACAACATCATTCGGATTTAGTGTTTGCGCCATTTCTCCAAGTATGCTATCTTCTATAGCAACTGGTCTTGTTACCATTTCCCTACCAGTTCAGTGAGAATGGCAATGTTAGTAACTTTGAGGCCAGTTCTTTACCCTTTCGCCAGAAGTTGTAGTCTGGCAGTATACGTTCAATATTGATATCTTTCTCTGTATAGACCACAAAATCACAATAGTCTAAATCGCATATAAAAACTTGAGCTTGTACTTCGGAATAGTAAAAATGACTTGTATCCAGTTTTGCTTGACCATCGATTGTCACCAAACAACTAGTTTTCTGATCAACTGCATTTACTAATATTTGATCTTTGTAGCAAAAAAGACATTTAATTTGACACACACCTTTACCACAACAAAGTACTCAACAACCGCATCCGGAGAGGCTCCAATTGTGGTCATTAATAAAGCATATGCAATTCACTGTCTTCAACACTAAAATTATTATGCGTTTCACGAATTTTATTTTGGTATACTTCCCTGGTTGTTAGCTCATAAGAGCATCACCACTTATGAGTGCAGAATATGAACTACCAACGTATACTATTTTGCCCAGGATGATCAGTAATGGCAATTATTAATAAGGTTACAGTACCTTTTGGCTGCTGTTGAAAACCTCTGTGCTTCTTATGACATATTACTTTCACTAAGTTCTTTGATGGTGTGGCATAATTTGAGTGGCAGACTGCTTTTAGCCTCGATGCTCTGACACGACCAGCTCTCTGATTAAACTAAACTTTAGATTGCGATTGTTATCTAGTTTCTGCTTTGATAGACATTCCTCAAGCAGTTCAAATAGTCAAATTCCATATTCTTCTCTTGGTAAATGAATGAAAGTGTTTTTTTACCTCCTTGGGAGTATATGGTTCATTAAACTTTGGAATAATAGATAAAAAACGGCTTTATGTGTTATTTGCATTAAAGAAAGAATTGACTTCATCAATACGTGGAGTAAAAAATTTTGCTTTTTAGTTGTATCAGCAAATGCACTAGGCTTACAAATTATCGAGTACTTTTTTTAGTGATGTGAAATCAACTTGGTTTATTGGCAAATAAGGTATGCTATTTACATGCCCCAGTGCAAGCTATTTGTTCTCTTGCTGTGTACATGTTATACATTTATATGATTTGACTGCTGATTCAGTGGCAAACATTATAGCTGCAATTTGTCAACAGGCTTCACTGAAACCAGCTATACAATTGCTGTGGGCTAGACCTACTCTTTTTTTGCTAAGAACCATGGCTTCAGTGGATTTTCTCTTCCTCTTTGAGTATGATTAACCTTCCAGTAATTTGACTAAAACCAGATGAGTCTACTTGAAAACTAAAACGTTATCTTTTATAAACTTCTTACGTGCTTTAAAATTTAAACTTAACACTTACTCGTCTATAAACCGAAACTTTGTCCTTTTCTGCTTGCTTTGTTAATAAAAGTCCAACTCAGCCTGATTAAAAAAATTTCAGGCTTTCAGACTTTTATACGCCTTCATTTGCCATAAAACTGAAAAGTAAACACACTAATAGTCGAATTTTTTAAGTCAAAAAAGTCAACCCTGTGTAAGAATTTAAGATAGAGTTGTTAAAATGTACGCTATGTTTACAGTTTGCACCACGCAACATTTAAAAATACTACGCGTTTTTCATATTAATAAAGTGGTGTATTGATGTTAACATCATCTTTAAGAACGAGGAGTAAACATTTTAGTATGCATTTATATATTTTATATAGAGAGCTACGTAGATGGCTTTAAATGTCCAAACCGCAATTAATCAAGGCACTTGACAGATTTTAGGCTTTATTCTTACATCCTGCACCATAGCACCGCCATTCTTAAATTTAGGATGCGCAACAAAAATTCTGCTTTTGTTATTGTCTTTGTTTGTTTGTTTTCCCGCTGCATTTTCTTTTAAAAATTCACCGCCGTCAATATAAGTCAGAAAAATATTTTTGCATTTACACTGTTGGAGCTTGCCTCCCTTGTTTCGACAAACAATTCACAATTCACGATAAGTTTTAACTGAGAAAATAGAAGTGGTCACAAATAAAAAATGACATTAGATATGTACACGTAGGCTAAAACAAGTTTACTCAACAGTAAACACGGCTATCCCGATAATCTTGATGTCTCTGTTTAGATGCTGTGATGTTCTCCAAAAATTTCCCTTTTTTAATGTTTTCTAGAGTCTAATATGTAGATTCTAATTGATTTATTCTTGGTTACATTGGTATTTATAAAACAAATAAATAGGAAATTATTGCGTATTTATGACGAAATTGTTAAGATAAAAAATTTTTCTCTCTGGATCATAAAGAAACCATTTACATAATTAGATTGGTCTAGAGGAGAATCTTACTTAATGCTATCCACTAGCGATTTTTTTCACATCTCTTTGCAAAGACGGTCATGTATCTGTGACTGCTTACTAAACAAACGGCATACTAAACTAAACTACAAAAAAAGTTGCAGTGACATAATTTTTATACTTAATCTGATTAATGCATTTTATAGTATATCAAGCAGAATGTAAACTTTGGCATATGTATTTGCAAAGTATAAATACTTTTTATAACTAAAGATATGTATTAAAACCTTATTAACAAACTTTTTTAACCATTTTTCGTGACTGATATCTTAATGTGCGCATTTGTCAAACAAAGGGTCATGTAGGTTATCGTGTTCCCTCACTACTTGGCTTATGAATGCTTTAAATTTGGTCAGATGACTAAGCCATTTCCATCTCGAGTGACATGCATTCCAAAAAAAATTGTTTAGGCATGGCATCATTGCATTACCCAAATCTTTCAATGATTTTTCTTATACGATTTTAGAAAGTGCTTTACAAATTTCTCAAACAGATATACAAATTACGTTTGAAAACTTACTTAAAATAATTATAAATCTGAGGATTTAAAATTTTTTGGTAAAGTTTTAAATTATTAAGTTTTGGTAAGTTTTTTATCAAATTATATATACCTGTTGATATTTTTAGCAGCTTTTTGAACCAATGCATTTTGACTCTGATTAAATAAACATTTTCAGTGCTTTCCCTGTTTATCCTTAACCGAGCAAAGTAGAAAAGTAAAGCAAAAAGTTACCAGCTCAGATCAATAAAACTGGAAGATTAGGTGGACTATACCATTGCTTTTTATGATTTGAAGAGGGACACTTCATTTTTACTGTACTATTACTTATGTGATGTTTAATTTCCATTTCTGTGTAATCATGATTACATGTATGACAATTTTTTAAAAAAATCAAAAATTGTCATATAAAAACGAAATATTTCGGTTCTGCTTAACCAGTCAAAGGCAATCTATGAGATGTAGTAATTTAGCATACTTCACAAGTATATATTGGGTAAAACATATCAAATAAATCACTAGAATTTTCAGTAGCATACGTACATCAAGAATCACTTTTTATAAGCCACTACAAATAACCACAGATTTTTTTTTAATTGCGAAAATACTTAAATGAGGACAACATTCAGTGGCTGTGTAGTCTAACCGTATGTTAACTAACCGTATATCAGTTGAGCGTTTGTTCCCGATGGTTTCTGTTTCTGTTTCTGTTTCTGTTTCTGTTTTTGTTTTAGTTTCAGTTCCATTTTTGGGATGTGCTTTTATTAATAGAAGAATAAAATCCATTCCAAATATAACGCTATCAGCGTCATAGTCGAATACACCAAATTTGTATGTGTCATCCAAGTTTTTCCTGACAGGGCTCTTTGAAACAGCTTTAAGATTCTTTAGCTTTGACTGTAGATTTTTAACTAAAAGTACAAAAAAGATTCAATTTGAATAGTAAATTGGAATGGTCAAAAAACCTGTCAACTCTACTTGCATAAACATTTACGTGTATACGGTAGAACTTTGCACTTTCACCCTGCTTTTTCACTATCCCTTTTATTTCTTTACTTTATTTGACAGTTCACTTTTCTCCATCGGAAGCTGTGTACATACACTACATCCTGGTACAACAACATTTTTTTGTGTTTTGACCATTTGGCACATCTAAGATTTCTCTTTTTTCGACATGTATACTTCATATCAGAACTTTCACCTTTACACCCCTTTGACTAAATGCACTTAGATTCTGCAGCAGCAGGCTAGCGAGTTTTGCTTTGTAAATAGCCCAAAATTTCATAGAGCTACTTTAAATTACGGTGTGAGTTTCCCTTCAAAACATGCCTTAGAAATAGAGGAAAAAAACTTTGATTAAACATGGAAGTCTATATTTAATTTCTTTGAAAACAACTTAAAAGCAGCGCCTAAAACTTTCAAAATTCGAAATTTTTCTTCTTCATCTATTGATAAATTAAATTTTTATATTTAAAAAAAATTAAGATTATTTCTATAGGTACGTACGATATGTTTTGTTACAAAAAAATATCAAAATCAAAATAAGCTATCAAACTTTAATATAGCCTTGTTAATGAAGCTTTGTCGGTGACTATGCACTTCTATCTATATAGTCTCATAATTAGCGATAAAAAGCTTGTATTGCCACGTTTATTTTCCTCCTAAATCTCTTACGTAATGTTATTATTTGTATAATTAATCATAATACCAATCCTTTTGTCGATGCTTTAATTTTTGAGACACGACATTATACATGGAAGGCAAATGTGCCTTGACAAGGACAAACTCAAGATATTATATTTTTGCCTAATTTTTAACAGCGCGATTGTCTTCAGTAAGATATATATTTCTGTTGCTTTCAAACGAATATCAACGACGCCATGTTTTTAAAAATAATTAAATTGTATTACAATGTCAAATATTATTCATGCATATGTTTCACATAGACAAGTCTCTTTTGTTGATAAGCGTACAAAGTATATTAAATTTAGTCTCCATGCTGTCTTCTTTCAACTAATAAAATTGTTTTTACTGCGATAACACATAAAAAGAGTTTGATAAAACGTTTCTTATTTGGCATTTAAAAAAAAACGAAAAAACTTTCCTTTTTTCTTCTCCTCGCTGTTTTTTCGGTTTCGTGCCTTCACTTCTCTAATTTTCGTTTGTAAAAAAAAACATCGTTTGTAATTGTGTCTTCTGGATAATTAAACTCATGTTTCGAGTTGTTTTTCTTGACTGGTATTTTTAACTGGCTTTACTCTTAAAATCTTTACTATTAAAATCAAATTTAAAACTACGTGCATATTGTATCTCCTGTCCAAAACAAGTTTTCGGACGACTATATGTTTCTGACCGAATCATAGTGCACTACTATGCCTGAAGTAACGATTTTACATAATTCTTTTACTTATCGGAATAGCATATTGAACTGAAAGATTTTATGGTCAATGTACGATTACTTTCTGGCACGACATGGTCATTTTTTTCGTTTCAACAAATAAATGTGAATAATTACAGTATTCTAAGTATTTTTACTAAACTTGTAATGTAATGATTTTCAAAAATTTTTTGTAAAGGTTGACGGAGAAGAATTAATTACAGTACCAACCGCTTGGAAGAGAAATTTTGCCTATCCTTTTCCAAAGACGTTCTTTCGATTTGATGACAAAAAAAACAAAGCTGGTTTTCAATTAACGCACCCAATTTCCTATGCAAAAAGTTTTCGCATCATTACCAGGTGGCCGGGCAGTGAACAGTTTAAAACCGATGATGTATGGAATCAATCAAAAGTGTGTCATGATACAAAGACAGCATGCAACGTTAAGGTATATTTTGGAGTAACTGTAAACAAACTTGAACATGGTGCAAAAATAAACACACATTTTAAAGATTATGTTACCCAAGATATTCACTCATTAAAACGCAAGTACTTGCATAAAATGACATCTATTTTATCTATTATGGCTTCTGAGCCTGAAAAATATGCGCCAGGTATAGGTTCAAGCTGTTCAATGGTATGTCATATTGTAAAACAGAATGATAAAGTAGTCTTGTTTGAGAGCTCGAGTAATGAAGCAGCTAAAGTAATTCAATCAATGCGTGTTCGAGTGTATGATTTATTCAAAGGACAAGCGATCATATCAGAAAATTGGAGGAGAGTTCTTATATCAATGCAATGGGACGGTAAAAAACCACAGGTAAAGGATATTCCATTAGGAGGAATTTTTAATGTTGGCCTTGACTTCATTCGTGAAATAAAAAGTTTGACAACAGGACTAAGAAAAATGAGCTGTGACTTGACAGGAGACGCTGCATTAAAACTAAAGCCATTCGACTGGACGGCATATCTCTTCTATGAAATGCCCTTTTGGAAGTCAGCTAAAATCACAGTTAGTATACCAAATGGATTTAAATCTGCTCTTATTTGTTCACAGTTTTCAACAAAGCTATTAGATTATAAAATATATCACCCCCGACTAACTGGCTACTTTAGTGCTCAATTGACTCAACAAGGTTTTGATTTAAAACACAATAAAGATATTTTTCATTTGCAAAATGAATGGGGTCATGTTGTGGCTGTGAACTTTTTTTGGAGGAGTAAAAAAATCTCACAAGCACAAGAACTGGATATAAATATTGAAACAAACAATGCAACTGCTCCAATATTTCCTGGAACCGGATTGGAAGACTTCTTTCACTATTTTCACGACTTTTTTAGAACTAAAAACATCACCGGACCATTTAATGGCATTCCTTCCTTTTACAAAACAAAAAAGATGCGAATGACTAAATGCTTTCGACAAAACACACTGGATCCAATATTGTTTATTAATGGTATTCGAATTTACTTAGAGTCTCACTTTAATCAAAAACCGAATAACTATCGAAAGTTTCTAATGACATCATCGTCATTCAACCAAAATATTTTACCAGATTCCCTTTATACTGTTGTATTGTACTATGGTAGCAAAGGCTCTGGTGGTTTGTACACTGACAAAGTGAATTATTATAGTTTCGAAAATGGTTTGTCTCCCAGATTAAAATTTATTCCTGCAAGAGTTAAATATTTCAACATTCAAAGTATGTACGAAAACCAAGCTGGTGGACTTTCAAACAAAACAGTTGTGTCTTTGGAGCCCGGACAGACTGTGGTTCATACATTTTTTATCTCTGAAAGCAACGTTGGTGTCGTTCTTCGTCGAGAATATCACTCAATAATACCAAATCAAAAGGCAAACGTGGTAGTTGACGAAAAAGAAGCTGGGATATGGTTTTGTCCACAAAGAGCAATAACTGAGTTATACTCTTTACGTCTGAACGATTACCTTCTTCCTCTTCATCAAACAATTGGCAAAAGATCCATTGAAGTGAAGATAACAGCAATTACAAAATGGGAAACGGTCTCAATTCATGTGCTTTCTGTTCTAATTGGAAGCAAATAATTCAAGTGAGCATAAAGAATAATTTGAACTCTGTACCATTTTATTTCAATAAATGCCAATAATAGCTGGTGTTTTTAGACTTACAAATTAAATTAGACTAGTCTGTCGTTAATTGTAATTTACCTTCTTTAATTTAATTTTTAATAAAATTTTAATACCATTTAAAATAGATTAATACTATTGTTGAATTATGTTTGTGATATTCAAACTGTTTAACGTACATTTAATCAAGATATATAATAAAGTTAATTGTATGGGATTATCTGAAGTCCGACGTTTGGATTTTGCATTGACTAAATTATTCTTGTCCAAACAAGTGTGGAACAAATTTCTGCATCTTTTGCAGAAAATTTGTAATCCGTGTGTCATGTTATAAATTGCTTATAGAAAGAGCTCTAAAGTTTAGAACGTTGTTTGTAACTAATACGAGTTGCAATTTCTGCAACATGGCGTTGATTTATTTGCTGGTCCTCGAGCCAAACAACATAATAAACACATTCAGGTACGGCTTATAGAGGAATGAGACAGGTGAAGCATTTCAAAGCTTGCAAAATCCACGTAAAAGTCGATCTATCTTTGGAAGAAAACCATTTCATAGATTAAATGTTAAGTCATCCGTCTTTGGTGCTGCCAGAGCTAAATCTAAAAGGGCTAGTGGAGATTTATGAGCATAACGGAATTTGAAAATAAAGAAAAAATTTTGAAGTGTGTTTCACATTGATGAGTTTAACCAAGAGGAAGATTATAATAATATTTTACACGATTATTACGATGGTGATTCCAAAATTGACAAATGTTAACTCAATTTATCACATTTTAATTTATACAACAGTTGATTAATATGGGATTAAATGAGGAAAGGCCCTGACGTGAAGATGGGTTATTTATCAACTACACATTAAACGCATTTTTAGTTTATGAGTAAAGTGAAGTGAAAAAATACCAAAACCTGATATTAACATGGCTGACTCTAATACTTTAAAAAATAGCTAGAGATTTTAGCCTATTCTCGGTGTAAAATTGTTGTTTTTAATGTGATGCATGAGTAATTTTCAATACGATATGCAATTTCACAAAATTTTAATATCACATTGCAAAGCTCTTATAATCTCACCCACTGAATTCTTCACACGGGCAAATTATGTGACAGATGACAGGCAACTTTACATTGTGACAAATTTGAGGCAAATGACATTAATGAAAAGGTTTTAACAATTTTAAATCAGTAAATGTATATTTGTCACTTTTTTATTTTGATTTAACATAACAGAATTGTGAGGCATCATCAAATACAACACAAGATAAAGATCCGAAGACGATCCATGGCAAGATTTCGAACTTTCCTTACAAAATAAAAGTAGAAATTAAAATGTACTAACTCATTTTCATGTATTCAACGATGCTTCCGTCTTCATGTCTTTTGGGTGAGCCAACATTCTTGAAGACAGTAGCATGTGTCAATGTCATAATGGTGCGCTTTTCGTGAAAAGAAACACAGCTAATTCTTTTTAATGATCCCATTAAATATGACTTTGTGTAAAGTAGGCCCAACCTCTCTAAAACAACGGCATTCATTGGCATCAGTGACCAACTGAGTAAGACACATACAAGCTACATGCACACTTATATTCTTTGTTCTTGTATTTACACTAAACAACATACGGACAAAATGACAATTTCAGTTTCTTATAAAGTTCTCATAACATTTATCAACTTACCAATTATCTAACTGAACGGTTCATTTGAACTTCGCCTTAAACGCTTAGAGCTCTAATCCATCTGCGTCTTCTTTGACCTAAAATTCTCACTGACAGCTTTCTCTAGAGATTCATTTTCGTACGAAGGAACAATAGATTCAGCTACTATTATATCGTAATCGCTGGAATTCGAAAGTAAATTTTCCTTTACTCTATTAGAGTTTCAGAATCCGAACTGCGTTCGCTTTTACTGCTTGATAAACTAAAATTTTATTGTGAATAAGTGTATAACATATAACAAAGTACTAGTAAATCAATGCTCATACTTCTCCCGTCCTTTTAACTACGTCACATCCGTATAGTATTGCAAGATTAAAACTCACACGCATAAAGCAACTTTGAGCAAGAAGTTATTAATAATCTCTTTCCTCAATTTTCAAAAAAAATATACAAAAGTGATCAGGAAAGATTGAAGTATTTGAGTATAGAAAAAATCGATACCCAAAATTTCACTTTTGTAGCACTTTAAACAATATTGCAGAATAGGCTTTTCAACATGGCGTAAATTTTGGAAGTTAAGTAAATTTTGGGAGACAAAATCGTGTAACCATAATTCATTTATGGCAACATAAATGTGAGATTAGAGAGAAAATGACCAACATCAGCAAGATATCCTATTGGAGCAAAAGGACCTCGAATGAACACTATAGGTTAGGGTTTTAAAAATCTGTGGCGTGGTACACATGTTAATGTATTTATCAGATGGTCATCAGCATGCATTTCTGCCAATCCAAAATTATAAGTGACAATTAAGGACAGGATGATGTAGCATAGGATTTTAAGTACGTAAAGCTATATTTATAGTGTTGACTATGTTGTTAGAAAATCGCACATTATACTAGCCAAAAAGCTAATCATAGAGAGGTGCCATTTTCCATCAACGGTAAACGCAAAAAGTCACGTTATCTAGGCTATATAGTTTGCGGTTCAGGTGTTAACTACAAGATGCCCTTCTTGCGGTAAGTGAGGTATAGCAACGTTTTAGTACTTTAATACAAACAAGGGACGTTTATTTCTCAATGGTATGTTGTTATATGAGTGTAAAACATATATATGCTATTTTCATTGAGAAAATTTTAAGAAAAACATAAAATTTAGCCCAGGACTAATGCAAATCATAAAATATAAATGTAAATTCAATTTCTTCACAACGACAAGCCTCGAAGGCATTTCTATTTCTATTGTCATATAACCATGTTGATTATCCAAGTAACATGGGTGTTGCGCTTTGACGCAGTAGTTGCAACTATTCATATAATTATATATGGATTGCGGGCAAAAAGAATAAAATACGGATTTCCCACAAAAAGAAGAAAATTCGGATTGTCCGAAAGGCTTTGATTAAATGCTTGTAAAATTTATGAGTAGGTTATACATGTCGGGATAGTATACTTTGAGTGTATCTAACTGTCACGGGTAAAGTCGCGGATATAAAAACCACTTTTTTTGCATGGAAAAGTTAGAAAGAAGTAAATGTTAAATACTCAGAAATTCTTTATTTTTGTGTATGCCCACTTGAATGTGCTCTATGAATCAAATTTCTCTGCTGTCAACATGAAAATATGTCACCTGTGTTTAGATATTTAAGATATGAGTTTGATATACTTATTAAAATATACAAAATGTGTGTTGTTTATAAAAGAGGAATTATTATTAGTTTTGAGGGCCGTTAAATTCTTTAACAATTGAAGGATTAAAACCCAGTTCATAAATTACAAGATATGGTTTATTTATTTGTGTAGCAATTTTCTACTTTCCGCGTTATTACAAAGCATTTATGCGTCTGTCGATTCCTTTTTGGGACTCTATGCTATCCTACTGTACGCGCAGTTGACACAATTCTCAATTTTACTCAATATAACTTTGCAGCATCACAGATAATCTTAAAAATTTCAACATTTTACATTCACAGCCAGTGAGAGAAGCACCCTGACTTTCAACGTGTCATAACTAAAAAAGTATTAACATAAGTTTCTGTTTCCGTTCTTCCATACGTTTCTAGTATCAAATGAAAATTATCTAGTACTTATTTACACAAGTTCCGGCACATTCCCCCCTTTTGAGCGTTTAGGGTTGAACAAAACTTTTAATCGTCAACATACATCCACAGCTGCTGCACTTTTAGGTCTCCTTTGACTTTCCACACTGCTACACTTTTTTGAAACTTTACCTCTGTCACTACTTTGTTGTTACTCTATTTTTACACACCTGTCTTTACTCTCCTTTGCATCCATCTCTAGTGGATACAGTTTCTGAAGAGGCCTGCTTATGTGCAGTGGCCTTCCATTGCTAACGATTTTGATTTCCGCTCCTCTGACAATATTTTCTTTTCCTATGATCAATACCTCGGTTCTCGCTATTTTCCAAAATCCTCTTTTCAAAATTTCCTCAAACACAAGAACTACATCACCTACTTTCGGACCCACACTACCATTTACTTGCGAACCTTATGACACTCTCTTAAACTTGTTAAGTATTCCTTGCTCCACCTGCACAAAAAATGCTTTCTCAATCTCACTACATAGCTAAACTTACGCTTAACCTCTCCTGCATCTTCGTCATTAATAGTATGTAGAATTCCTTTGTCTAAAATAGATGTTAATCTTCTTCCAAACAATAACAATTGCAGGAGTCAGTACATCATCTTTATGTACATAACTCAATGATCTAGAGTTAAACCTACGTTGTACCTCAACTAATGTTGTTAGCAAATCTTCCTTGTTTAATTTAGCGATACCCAACACCTTCCTCAGACAACCTTTCACCAATGATATTATTCTTTTAAAAAATTCACCCACCAGGGTGTCCTCGCCAAATTAAACTTCCATATCAACCGATTACCTTCCATATATGATTTTACCTCCTTACTTTTATGAGTCCCCTTCAACGCTTTCTCGGTTGTTTTAATTGTTTTGCCGTTGTCCAAAACTATTAGCAAGGGTGCTCCCATTCTAGCAGTAAATCTTCGCATGCAATTCAAAAAGCAATGTGCACTTAAACTACCAGCTAAATCAAGAAAAATTCCTCTTGTAAGTAGTTAACTAGTATATATATATATATATATATATATATATATATATATATATATATATAATATATATATATATACTATTTTATCTTTTATGTATTAAATGCCTGGATTACAAATTTTCAAACTTATATATATATATATTTCGGATAATAATCCTGGATAAAAGAGCGCTCAATATTCTATATATTAGAAGAGCGTAAGATAAAAAAATTCATCCTAGACAACATCAACAACGTAATACGAAACGAACTAAAACTAAACCAATGGCGCAACACAGCAGATGCTATGACTTTGTTTAAATCCATCACCGAAAAACAAAGAAAATCATTCATATCATTTGACATAGTTGACTTTTACCCTTCGATCACCAAACACCTACTGGACAAATGCCTAGCGTGGGCAAAACAATACACAACAATCACAGAAAAAGACCACACCATTATAAAACACGCAAGAAAATCACTTCTTTTCCACCAAAAC